GCAACGAAACAATCAGTTTCGGACCACGAATGTTTACTTCGATACAATCAACCTCGTGCCAAACTAGGTGAAATATCCACAAATTGATAAAATTTCAGAATAACAAACAGAAAATGAAAAAATGTTTAATGATTTCTAATTTATAAAGTGGCAATAAGGAGAGTATTCCTAAACCCTCCACGTGAATATATATATATATATATATATATATATATATATATATATATATATATATATATATATCATATATATATATATATATATATCATATATATATATATATCACATATATATATATATCATATATATATCATATATATATCATATATATATATATATCACATATATATATATATATAAATCTATATAAATAAATTTCCAAGAATTTCATAGAATCCATCACATGTATGTATATGTCACATACAGACATATATATATATATATATATATATATATATATATATATATATATATATATATATATATATATATATCGCAGCGAACACGAAAAGCATTGATTTCGAAAGATGATTTTCAATGTTGACAAAACTCCCTCCCAACACGTTGACTTTTCAGACAAACAATCTTCTTACTCTCCATTCTCTATTCATTTGTCCTTGTATGAGACTAAGGTGAATTTCACCCCTCTCCCCTCCTCTCTCTCTCTCTCTCTCTCTCTCTCTCTCTCTCTATAATATATACATTTAATTATATATGTATGTATATCTCATTTTGTGTCTGTGAATCGTTATTTATTCAACAGTTAAAAGCTGTACCAACTTTATGTATCATGGTATTGTCTGGGTATTGCGGATTTTGCAAGCATCTGAATGAACATACTGTATAAATGGGAACATCTTTCCTGGCGTAGATATTGTTGCTGGCTACAAACAAGGGCATTTTCTTCTAATATTCGGTGTGATTAAGGCAAATGAATAAAGTTACAGCTGTTACTATTTTGTTGCATGTTCCCCCCCTCCAAGGTCTCCAACTTGACCGATTTTGACTGATTTGTTAACATCTATTTTGATATTGCCAATAGCGAAACAACGGAAGAGAAAGAACATCTGTCCGTCGTGCGACTCCGCCCAAAGGAATCAAATCGATTATCGATCATTAGTCAATATGACAACGGCTATCTTTGCTGCCTTATAAATTCATGGAAATACACGTGCATCTATTTATATTGCACTGATTTTTCTGTCACAAGTAACCAAAATTGGCTAATTTTCTCGTATCAAACCCACTTTTAACATTTTTTAGAAAGATTGAAGATTTACTTACTTTGAGTAAAAAGATGTCAACTGGGGAAAAAAAAGCTATGCACTCAAGTAACATATCAATTACGCTAAAGTTCTTCTTCTTGAAAAGCATACTAAATTTGGTCAAGCTAACAGATACTACAGTCAGTTATGTGCCATGCGTCTTACATGCTTAGGCGATCATGTATCTTTCGATACATAACTGACGAGGCATATTTTTTTCCGCAGTAGGTTACCATTTATTTCTGCGGTAGACCAGTTGCCCACCCGGTCTTTCCTGCTATTTACCCATAGCTGGGGGAGGAGAAGCGGATTCATACCTTTGCCAAGGATATTAACACGTAAGTGAATGTAATGGATTCGATTGGAATTCGAACTCGGCTCTCCGATTCCGCAATCCGAGCCTAAACAAAGAACCGGGAAACGATACCTTAGTCTTAGACGAGGTGCACAGATACCATGATTCTGATTCTGAGGCAATGATTCATAGATAAATAATAACCCCATTTTTTACAGGTCCTATGTTCGAAGGTTCTTACAAAGCTGAGGTGGGTGAGAAAAAAAATCAACTACGTCAATAAACAAGAGTACAAGAATAATAAATGGAAAAATACATTGTCCCGGAACAAAAGTTCGTAGCATTTTTCAGTAACGTTTGACCCATGATTTCGTTTCACACGTGACTGAAATTTATGAGAAATATGCATTCTCACCATTTCAATGCGCCTTTCTATACAATTGGTGGATTGTGAATTTTAAATGCTTGTACGTAATAAAGTGAAAATACGGAAAATGTGATACACTTTAGACATTTGATGCTTTTTTATTTCTGGAAAGAAAGAAAAAACTGTGTACAATCAGCAAAAGAAAAGACGTGCCGTTTATGGAGATGGTACAAAATTGCTGAGAAAACTCTTGCTAAAATGTTGTACTCTCTATCCCAGCCACGTATCAACATTTCAAAATACAAACTCATTCTAAACCCCAACCCCATCCCAAGATTTTTAGAATTTTGGTGTCCAGCTATATGCAAAGAATTCTATTTTTCTTATCTGGTACCCATTCATATGGCAAGATTTCGAATTAAATTGTCTGAAACAATTTCAAATTTTGAAGCCAGATGTCTGGCACCAACATTTGAAATACTAAATCCCAACTCTCGGCCAAATCTTCGAAGGCCGATTATTCAGGTGGATTGTTTCCACATAAAATACTAGAGGTTAAGACCCGGCGGCGACAGTCTGTTTCATACTTAAACGCAATCGTCTGGCCATGTACGTTGTGTTTTGACTCGGTCTAATTTATTATTGTAACTGTTATAAGGTTATGTAACGGTTTTGTTTCAAATTATTCTAATGGCTGCTGAGTGGAAATAATTGTGGATCTGATTTAGTCTTCTACAAAGACAACGGTCTTAAGAAACTGTAACAGACAAAAATAAACAAAAGCAACAAAAACAATTATAAAAATTAAAAGAAAAAATCGGATTCGACATAGCCTAATCTAAAAGAAGTAGATTTCTTAGATGTCACATTCAACTTAAGAAAACGTACATATCAAGCATATAGAAATCCAAATGCCAAACCACAGTATATATAGACATCTTCAAACCAACCACCATCAATAATCAAGTAGATCCCACAATCAATTAACTGCAGTTAGTGGAACCATCTTCAATTAAGCCAGAAAGGCTATAAAACAGCTCTAAAAGATATTTAGGCAACACTCACATACACACCGCACATCCCAAAAATTTAATAGGAAAAGAAATATCATGTGGCTCAGCCCACCATACAGCAAAAATATAAAAACAAACTGAGGAAAATATTCATTAAACTCATACACAAGCACTTTCTCTCATCTAACACCCTCCGCAAGTTATTCGACAAAAACAGTAAAAATCAACTACAATTGCTCTGAGAACATAGTATAAGTAATAAAAAGACACAACAGGAAAACAACCAACAAACCACTCACACAAGTCAAACCCACGTGTAACGGCAGAGTAAAGAGCAATTATTCCTTAAACGGAAATTGCTTACAGAACAATGTAATATATCAAGCCAATGTAAAATCAACTGATAATGATAGAAAAATATATATAGGAGTAACTGAAGGACAATGGAAACAAAGAAACTACGCACACAAAGCATACTTTACAAATAAAAAATACGCAAGGAGTCCAATGCTTCCTAAACATGGATGGGAAATTAAAAACCAAAACAAAATCATACCAAAAATTTAATGGAAAATAAGGAAAACAGCATCAGCCTACAACAATAAATCCAAAACACTGTCTGGAAGGGAAAATAGTAATAATTACCTTTCCAGACCAACAGATCTGAAAATGCAGACACAAAACAAATTTTTACTACGTTACTTAAAACTGTCCTCGGAGTCCATGTGTGTGTGTGTGTGTGTGTTAAAAATATAGTTTTAAGGTATGCTATATTTATGAGTTAAAGTGCTCTATATCAGGGATAGGTCGTATGAAAATATAAAACTCGACATTGCGGTCAACACTCGGCGGCTACAGTGTGTTTCATGATTAAACACAATCGTCAGGCCATATTCGTAGTGTTTTAGGCCGATTATTTATATATGCTGATCAGTGATGCTTTATGGTTGATCTGTTGTATTATTCTAACGCTTAGTAGGTGGTCAGTAATGGTTATCTTTCGAATTATTTTAGGGTTATTGGTGAAAATAATTGTTGATCCGAATGCAGTTTTGTGGCTACTTTATAGTGTTGTTCGTTAACTTTATTATTGATTGTTTTGTTACTTGTTGTTGATTGTAATATCGAGTTTACTTGTGTTCATACATGCCTTTGTAGTTCGTTAATTTGTTTATTATTTACTTTATTTGTTTACTTTTTTATTTTGCTTATTTATTTTTTTTATTCATGTATTTTTATTTTTTATTCGTTTTTAGTTTTCGATTTTAAGTAACGTAGTAAAACACGCGCGCACACACACACACACACACACACACACACACACACATATATATATATATATATATATATATATATATATATATATATATATACTCCAGGAGTCAAATCGTTCATAACAGTGTTTCACTGACCCGACTGTGTAACCACCATGGGAGAGTATCTTTTCACGCATGCCCGTCAAGTTCTGTATGATGAGTAACGAAGTAACATCAAGACGGCGTAACTAGTTCCCGAAAAATTCAAAACAGCTGGATACTTACCGGACATACCCTATATACATTGCGAAATCTTGAAAATATAAAAATTTCGACGATGATGTCAGTAAGTATTCATTGCTTAAGAGCTTCTCATGAGTCTGCTGAAAGCCATTATGGGTGACTAGTACGAAAAGAGACAAGGCCAGATAATAGTTAAGGAATGTGACGTCATTGATAACTTCCTGACTTTCACAGATTCTTTTTCTCTTTCTTCTCTCAGTTCCTCTTTGTTCATTGTCAAATGCAGATCATTGCATACTTAAGCGTAGCTTTGTAAATAAGTGCCTGGCAGCCGACATATATATTGATGCACAATGACTACGTATGAGTGTGTGTGCGCATGCGCGTGTGAAAACTCAAACACATTTGCATTTACCAGGAGGCGCACTAATAAAGAATTGTGCAAACAGAAAAAAAACGCAGATAAAAAGCGTCTGTCGTAGAACGTTTCTTTACTTTCACAGACCATTTCCTAGTTTAGATAGTTAGAACCCCCAAACCAACTCAATTCCTACCGAACAATTATGGCCTGATACCGGATAAAATTAAAGAGTAGATAGATAGATAGATAGATAGATAGATAGATAGATAGATAGATAGATAGATAGATAGTGAGAGAGAGAGAGAGAGAGATAAAAGCAAAAACCAAATGGATTGAATTATGTGGATGTGGCTTGCTTTGAAAATCCCTATTCGAAATTAGAACTAGCTTTTAACTACTATTTTCTCTGGAGAAAAATATCGTCTTACAGTCGTAGTAGCCTAACAAAGAGAAGGAGATAGAGAAAAGGTTAGAGAGAGAGTAAGAGAGAGAGAGATGAACAGACTGAGATAGATAGATAGATAGATAGATAGATAGATAGATAGATAGATAGATAGATAAGTAGAAAGAAAGAAGAAAAGACAGAAAGAAAGAAAAAAAAAGAAAAATGAGTAGGCGATAGATAGATAGATAGATAGATAGATAGATAGATAGATAGATAGATAGATAGATAGATGTGCGTATAACCTAAAGAAAATAATGTAATAATGTAAATCCATATCTATTAGAATCGAATTGATAAGTATTTTCATTATTACTTCCTTTCATCCTGTTGAAATTCAATCACATATGCCTTTAATGTGTATATACTTGTATTTATAATCATGCAATTTTAAGTCTCTATGTTCCTTTGTTAACTATTTGTACATCATTTTGTTCTATTCCCAAAATTTTGAAAACTCCTTCCAGCTAAACATTCAGTTTACTGGCTATTGCTAGGTACATTACATATTACATATTACACGTAATATCGATGCAGTGTTAAGCGTATTTGGAAGTGGGATAGCAAAAGGCTTTCTCCTAAGATGCTACGTAAAACTAATCCACATGTTTTCTAAGTTCATAACTTAGATGATCTTCTATCACTATTTCTAAGTAATATTACATTGTCTTTTGTATGCATTTATATATTGCCTGGTGTATAAACTTATTTCATTAACTTGCCTATATATTTATTACATTGTTTCCTGTACTTTTCCTATTGCCTTGTATGTCATGTGTATATATCGTATTGTCTTGTGTATATATTTGCTAGATTGTTATGCTGGCACATTTTATAGAATCTTATGTGGGTATTTTTTTATCTCGAATCCTGCATGCATTGTATTACCTTTCATAGACATTTATTATTTTAGACTATATTCTTTCCTCTTTCAGTTTTTTTTTCTCTCCGTTGATAAAACTGATGAGTCTGAGCCGATATTCTGAATGATTCTTGGAATTAAAGTTTGTTCTGGCTACAACGCTTTACCCACCAACACAGATTAATTAAATTCTTTGTTTTCATGCGTTCAAGAATCTATTTACTGGGATAACTTTATTTAGAGACGAGGTTACACTTATAAGGTTACACTTATAAGGTTACACTTATAAGGCACTGAATGAATATCAAATTGACTAGCAATAGACTGAGAGTTAAGCATATCATCATCATCATCATCATCATCATGTGTCGACCGCAGTCGAGATCACTACGCCAGACCTCCCAGTCCTTCATTGCTGTCCTCAAGTCCTGCCTCCCTTGAGATGACGTCAGAGAATGATAGGTTTCTGTCCCTGGTCAGGTTTAATGCAGGCTTCCAGATTAGAAATGAGGAAACAACCTCATTCTCAGCAAACTCTCATATGAGAGGGGAAACATGGGGAAGGCTGCCGTAGATTTGATGGATGGTTAGATGGCGTTTCCAAGAGAGAGCTTTGGGCTATAATCACAAGACGTGTGTATGTTCCATCCAGACGTTTCTCCATGCCTTTAGAAAGGACTTTGAGAATATTTACAAAGCCAGATATAAAAACTATAAATATAAAGTGAGTCAAGTAAGTATCATTAAACACAGATTCTGTGGCTTGTTAATTTGAACGTATCTCTTATATGGTCATGGATATAGTTTGTACGCTTTGGTTTGTCTGGAGCAATGAGAGAAAAGCGTCGAACTAACAACGGCTTGGAGGAAAAGCAATAATCGCATAGTGTCCGCTATAGTTAATTTCAAAGCTGATCTTAGTCACAAGTTTATAGCAGCGAACCAAACTAGTGGATTAGTTCATCGAACACTATATCTTGTCTAACCCAGGCGTTATTTACAATATTTAGCTTCTTAATCTGCTACAGTAACAGCGAGGATCGAACTCACTACAGCTGTGTACGAGACGAACTAATTAAACAACGCGTTGTTTGAGAAGCTCTCTATATGAATCCGGTTATAAGCTTAGACTGACATAAGACTATACTACTACAACACTCAATGAAAATTGAGCTCCCTTCATAATTTGTCCGAGAGGCGAACTTGTAAATCACTGCGTTAAGGAACACCGCGTCGATGTTTATACGAATCGCCATGTCCTTATTGGCGCATGCGTATTTGAATGGGTATCTATGAGTATGCGCGTAATATGCCAGTAATTTTAAATAGCTATCAAATCATGTCATTATTTGAACACAGTTTACCAAACACTGTAATTTACTGCTTACAGAAAAGTGTGTACACGTGGCTAAGTATATAAGTGTAACTACATACGCATTTATATTTATAGTCTGATAGATAGATAGATAGATAGATAGATAGATAGATAGATAGATAGATAGATAGATAGATAATACCTGTACACGACACGCAAAGACAAGAATATTTAGGAAGATATGGGTAAGAGTAAAAGATCAAGAGTGCATACAAAAAATAAATAAATGCACATTTAAACGTATTTATAGAAAGATACACACATATAATACATGAACATACAAATATCTATTTTTGGATGATATGTATGAGAATATATATATATATATATATATATATATATATATATATATATATATATATTGAGGATAAGGTAGAGTCGAGATAACAATTCATTCGTAAGAGTGCGTAAGAAAACGAATTAGGGAAGGAAGTTCATACCAACTTGAAACATCTATCAAAATAGATGTCGCGGTGTTCGGCTATTGGCAAAACATTTAGCTGTATTTGACTAATTCTACCTAATCATAATGTTTATAGAAGATTGTACAAAACGTACACACCCAGCTTTTCAGTGGAGATGAAAACTAAACAGCTAACAAATTCAATTTCTTTCAGTATATTAGCGTACACATATCCTGATAGATAGATAGATAGATAGATAGATAGATAGATAGATAGATAGATAGATAGTGAGAGAATGAACTGACTGACATTGATAGAGAGAGGGAGAGAGAGAATGAACTGACCGACATAGATATAGGTCTTACCTTTCGCTAATATCAAACAAGTTTTCTGTTTAGCCTTTATCAAATTACTCAATTTTTTTTCTTTTTACGTTAACTGTAGCAGTCAAATTTACTTTATATACTTCTGACCCAGACATATGCAAATGTTACGAGACAGTAGCTGTCATTCTTGCCACATATCTCTGGTTATATAGTTTGGGCTTCTAAGCGTATATGTTCGTATGCACACGCGCTTGTATGTATTTATTATCTACTTGTTAGGTACTTGCTATTCTTAATCCATCACAAGGGATCTATGTATTATATCTACATTTATGTTTATCTGTAGGTTGCGATGGGTAAATTGTCGTCAGTTTGGTATTGATTTTTTCGACTGCACAATATGGTAAGGTCAGTTGGGCACCGTCTGTGAGAAAAAGAGTACCTTGTTGCAATTCACTCCGCCAAAAATTTGGAAACGACATGCTGTACTGCTTGGCATTCGCGCCGGAAGCTCCAATACGTATATTTCAGAATGTTTAGATGTCAATCTGAGGACAGTGCAGAGCATTCGGAAAGAGTTGGATGAGTCTAATGGTGATTACGAAGGTGTTTGAGTATTCACTTTTGATGGCGGCGTTATGCTCCATTCATCTTCTCACAGAGACTCAGATTCAATACGGAGGCCTACCGCCTTGAGGAGGTGGTGCTGCCCTGGGTAAAGAAGGTGGCTTCTGGAAGACCCTATGTCTGGCAATAGGACTCTGCGTTATGCCACACAAGCAGGAGAACTCAGGCAATATCTCCAACCACATGACCCCTTACAGCTGACCACCTAACTCCCCAAATTGCAAACCCATTGATTATTATGTGTGAACTGAAGGTAAGGATTATGGCAGCATTCATTTAAAGAAGGAGACTGTCCAGAAGAGTTGCAGGAGATTCCGAAGTCGTCTGGAGGCCGGGGTTGAAGCCAATGGCGTTTTTATTGAATAGATTTACTTTTTAGTATTTCGAGACATTGCTGTGTAATTTTGGTAAATATTATGTGTTAAAATGAGATGTCAATATTATTTTCATTTTTGCATAACTTAGACGATAATTCGTCCAACGCAGCCTGTACATATGCACATGTGTGGAAGGGAAAATTAGAACATTTCGGTCTAATTGTTTCTTTTATACGACTGTGCATACATGAGGTGCTAGTTAAAATTTCAGGGATTTTGATGAGACTGATTAAAGTAACCCAACGTTTCACGAGTCACGCCAGACATTTTACACGTGATACGAAAACACTCAACCAATGAAAGAGGAGCATGCTTTCTATTCATTTCTCTTTTTTTGACTAAACCATTCTAGGACTTGTGATTCATTGTTGAATTTCAACACACACACACAAACAAACACACACACACACACACACACACACACACACACACACACACACATATATATATAATTATTTATTCGAAAATTATAACATAAACATGTTATAAAATCACTACAAAAATAGCCATTTTGTTTCAACATTCCTGGTGTCTTATCAAGTGATGATGTTGAATGTCAATATATATATATATATATATATATATATATATATATATATATATATATATATACATTATTATTATTAAAACAAGACATTTTATGTGTATGAAATTTGTTGATCATTTTTCTAGTGTGTAATTGTTTCCTAAATATGAGCATTTTTATGCATAAAAAGACCAGATATGGTAATGTTCAATCCCCGAATAGATCAACATGGATTACACAATATGAATTTGGTTTATTTTAAGCGTAAACAACAGCTATATTTTATTGAAACTCTAGAAAAAATCAACAAATTTAATAAAATTAAAATGTCTCTACTTTTTAATAATACATGTTTACAAGAACAATTGCTGGCAAAGTGTGTGTGTGTGTGTGTGTGTGTGTGTGTGTGTGTGTGTGTGTGTGTGTGTGTGTGTGTGTACAGAGGCTGTCCATAAGGTTCGTGTGCACTTTAAAAAAATTACAACTTTATTTGTATTTGCGATAGAAATAATCTGTAAAAATGTTATAAAGTTTAATGTACCTAGTTTTAAGTATAGCTAATATAACTATTGTGATTTCAGGCATTACTGTAAATCATTTGGCAAATGTTTTCCGTGAACTGCAAAATCGTATTACCTATTGTATTGCGAGTGATGGAGGATATGTGGAAACTTAAATAAAAATTTCAATAAAATCTTAGAAAATATAGATTTACCTCTTTCTAATCCTTTTTACAAATTATTTCTAGCGCAAATACAAATAAAGTTATGAATTTTTTTAAAGTGCACACGAACGTTATGGACACCTTGTATATATACTATGTATTGTTTTGTATCCCTTTTGGGTACATATAATCTTTTAGATTCCTTGACGTTTCTCCGAGGTAATTTTTGCGACGGGGCTCTTTACCATTCCTGGCAGATCTTCTGGGAAATCTACTAAGAAAAACAATGAAAACAAAAAGAAAAAAATATCTAAATGAAATCGAGTAGATTAAAAAAAAAATTAAATTTAAAATTCCCAGCATCCTTCGTTCGTGCACACGTATAGTCATACCAGTTCAGTTATGTGCCATGCGGAATAGACGCTTAGGCGATCATGCATCTGTTGATACATAACTGACGAGGCAGATTTTTCCCGCAGTAGGTTATCATTTTTTTCTACCGTAGACCAGTTGCTATCCAAGGCTATACAATCCAATCTGTCCTCCTATTTACCCATAGCTGTAGTGAGAAGAAGAGGATTCCAAGCGTATAAGTACGTAAGGAATGTAATGGATATCATTGTATCCCTTCCTGGCAAATCAACCGTGGTGAGATTCGAACCCGTGTCTTTATGGTCAGAAAGCGAACATTCTAACCACACCAGCATATATATATATATATATATATATATATATATATATATATATATATATATATATATATATATATATATATATATATATATATATATATATATTCAGACAAACAAAAAACATAATTATGATTATAATGATAATGGCTAATAGATTAGCGAAAAGCGTTCGGATCTACAGATCATTTGGATAATTCTTATGGCATTCTATATCCAAAATAGAAATCAAGAATGCAAGAAAAATATAATAGAGAGTTTAATCGCAGTGCCCTGTCAGTCGTCTTCAATGAAACCTGTATAAAAGAGGGGTTGATAACCAAATACATACACACACACACACACATATATATATATATATATATGTATGTATTCACTTGAGCACATGTACAATTTGTAGACGTAAAATTAAATATATATGATATAATACGATATAATAAATATTTAATAATGTTTATAATATAAATATATATGATATAATACGATATAATAAATATTCAATAATGTTTCGTTGAATGATATCGACAAGTTCTGTCTGTTCAATATTTTATTAACTTTTTCAAATTTCCTAATTAGTTGTTTTATATAATCGATAAATTTACCAATGTTCATATTTATTTATATTTTATTTTTTCCGGGTACTTTCGCATCTTGTATATTCATTTTCAAGATGTATGTTTAAAAGAAATTAATTTAAAATTTGAAAAAATTGAAATTTTGAAAAATTTAATAAAATGTTCCCATACATTCATAATCACCATTAGATTCATCTAACTCTTTCCGAATCTTTAGATTGACTACCAAACACACTGAAATGTTCGTATTGGAACTGCCGGTGCGAATGCCAAGCAGTACAGCATAGCGTTTCCAAATTTCTGGTGAAGTGAATTGCGTCATGGGGCTGTTTTTCTCATAGATGGTGCTCAACTGTGCATTCGACAAAATCAAAAAACAAACAACGCGCTTGCTCGAAATTAAAAATAGCGACAATTTACCTATCGCAACTAGTGTGTATGTATATATATATATATATATATATATATATATAATTAAAGATCGACACTTTTAGCGACAGACATCAATTTAAATAGTACTAAATTCAAATACAAAAATAACAATATATAGGCAAATGAAAATGTGTCGGACAAAATGAGCAAAAAGGACACCAATAAACGACAATTAATGGGACTCTTCTTCTAAATTTGTTACTAGCCGTGATTTGCGGGATTCAATCAATGCTTTTTGTACTTTTGTAAGTTTGTGCCTGAAAATTTTGAAATATAGAAGTGTAGCTCAACTTGCGTAGCTCATCTCGTTCGGTTGATTGAATGAAAGTAACATTTCCAATGACTTTACATCTCTCACCAAAGCAAAATCATTGCTTTTCAACGCGCGTGTATTATGAAGTCATAGATTGTACAAGGGAATGATCAATTTTACAAGGCACTGACAGTAATTGTGCGTTTAGATTCAGATATTAACGTTGATTTGTCAGACGTATCAAATTGCCGATTCACTACATTAAGATCGAAAAGCAATACAATTCCCCTGCACCAGAACATAATGTGCTCAAAAAAGATTAATAGCTAATTTTAGGAAAAATTTAGAAACAAATCTAAAATGAAATTTATTTCAGGATATAGAATATATTACTATTATTAATAAATAAATAAAAATATAGATCGGCCATGAAAACAGAATGAAAGGAGATGAAATAGCGAAATCAGATTTCGAATCACATGGTGTCCTTTGTTTAAAGTCTCAATAAAAGGCAAAGCGAGTTCTGGCATTCACTTCCAATCATGCGGGTGACGTGTGTTTTCGTCTACTTTATATTATTTTTGACTGGAGGGAAAAGGAGAAAAAGGAGAAAAAGTAAAAGAGAAAGGGAAAGAAAATGAAAGGAAAATTCTTGTTGTTTTGTATCCGAAGATGAGAGAAAAGGAAAAAGGGGAAAATAATTTTCTAGCAACAAATTTCGTAGCAGTCGCTCTTATTTTGTGTTAAGCTACGTAAGACTTTTTATTTTCTCTCTCTCTCTCTATATATATATATATATATATATATATATATATATATATATATATCCCCCTCCCCCTTCCGTTCTCTCTCCTTCTCTCCCCACTCTCTCTGTTTCTCTC